AGACACGCTCGACTAAGCGACGACCAGCAGTAGCGGCGGCGGCAGCACATGGCAGGAGTACGGCAGCATCCAGAGCCTCTGCGGCGCAGGGGGAGGGGAAGGGCAGGGGATCGTCCGAGCCCCCGCAGGCTCCGGGGGACCAAGACCGGGCACCTCGAAAGCCAGAGGACTCCTTCCCCCCTTTCTGTCGCCGCTCTTCTCCGCTGTGGACAGGGATGGACACCTGGCGTCAAGGGGAAGGCTGGCACGGCAGAGGTGAAAGATGTGGCCAGGCTGCGGGGAGGGGGCAGGAGGGCTGTGAGGGAGGTTGGAGGCCTTTTGGAGCCCCCCGAAGCTCTCAGGGGGGGTCGGAGAAATGGAGGACACTTGGCTTTACCTTGTGCAATTACCACACACTCGCTGCTTTCCAAGTCTGCATTCTTCCTCCTCTCTCTCCTGCTCCAGACTTTTCCTCAACCCCCAAAAAGGCTGGTAACACCAGAACTGGTCTCCAGTTCCAGTTACAATACATGCCCCAGCTCCCCTCCCTTAGCCAGGAAAACAAAACCCCAGCCCCTCTGGGGGCCTGAAGGAAGACTGTGCAAGGTTAACCCTGTCCTGCCTCCTCTCTTCCACAGTGGAAATCAACTCCTTGTGTGAAGGGATGGCTGGGGATGGTTTGGGGGAGACATCCACAAATTCACATGGACCATGAGTCAGAGACAGAATCAGTCCCAAGTTCCGTAGCCAGGACCTTTCGAATTTTCAGGAAACGTGGTTGTGACCTAAACTTGGTGCCTGAGACAATTTGTTCCTTGCCTTTTGCTCAACCACCCTCTCTGTCTTGCTTTCCTATCTGTTGCTCAGATGTAAGTTATCCTTCTAAGACGAAAAGGGAGAAATTTGCCCTGGTGAAAAAAAAAACTGTCTGAAATGTGTGGCTTTCCTCAGGGAACTCTTACTGTGGAGGCTGGCACGCTCTTTTCATATCCGCATTCAGGAGCTAAATAAAGACACACGTCCATGCTTGTCCCCAGTCTTTGTTCAACCCTAAACAGGAAGGGGAAATCAATATTTGTGAATCCACACCTTCATTTGGTGTTGGTGTGCAAGGTCCTGTAAAGCAGTATGTAGTTTGAAGGAACTGGATGGAAGTGCTGCAGCAAGTTTTCTTGGGGGAGGTGCTGGGTGTCTCTCCTTTCCCTAATCCACACACCCCCTGTGGCTCTTGTTTTGTGCTGTACTGGAGGAGGCGGGAGAGGCTGCTCTAAGGGAGGACATGGTGAGAATGATAATGAGCCTGCTCAGTCAGACTTGAATTTGAGATGATTGCAATGATGACATCAGGAGCACAAGGTATTTCCTTTGCAAGCAAACCACGATGCATTCTGAACAGGCTTCGGGATTCCTGTTGACGTTACTCCTGCAAACTGAATGGAAACAAAAGTGAGAGTACGCTTTGCTAATTGTGCTGTGCGATCACTTGAATCATGACTGGGTAATCTTTTCATTATCCTAATAACCAAAAAGGCTTCAAAGAAAGCTTCTGAACCCCCCAAAAGATCGCTTATCAAATATGTAAGAATAAAGAACTACTTATATATTTATACACACAAATATATCATCTATATATGCATGTATGTAACTTTTCCTCAACATTCAAAACAGTTTCCAGTTTACTGGCATCTTTCTTGTACATTACTGGGAAAAACTAACATATAGACATATATTACTCAATTGGGATTTGGAGCTCGGTCACCCTAAACCAAGCACTACTTTGTCTTTGTGCCATAACTATCAGCAGTTAACTGATGAGGTGGGTATTTTGCCACAGACATCTGTCCACTGAGAACTCACCTAAGATCACCACAAACAGGCTACTGAAAGGCCAATAGCATTAAATTCCTGCTAACGTATGCAGGAAGTCTATGGTCTAGAGGTGCAATCTTCAGGTAGTTCATGACCAGAAACAGATGCTGATTGTTTCTGTCTAAAGAAGAATTTTCACATGGCCATATGAATCCTTTATTATTAAACTGACCTTAGAAAGTCATCTCTTATTTGTTTGACTTACAGTAACACTAAGTAGATAATAATGACACAATACCATATTCCCATTTTTTGTATCCTCTTAATGTTCCCATATCACCAAAAAGTGTATGTAAGCTCTATATAAACATTTGCTCTAGCTATATGGTTTAAAAACCTTGTGGAAAATCAATTGTGATCTGTCAGGTACATAAATGCATGACATCATGTAATTGTTTTGCAATTTTTTACCATGTTATGATCATGGAAATCTTGCTCAATTATTTTGATGCCTCAGACCTGCAGTTTTATCTAGTGGGCCAATTTATTCCCAAAGTAACTCATTTGAAATCAATGGGGTTACTCCAGAGATGGATTTGGCACAATGAGCGCATCTTTCACTGACAGCACAGCTGTTGCATAGAAACGTAACTATTATCTTATGCAAATAAAAGGCCTTTCACCCCTCAGTGAGGTTGAATTCTCATGATAGGGAGAACTGGTGCCTTGAAGGTATGGTGTTTCAAGCTGTTACTCTGTCAACTTTTATAAGCTAAGCGGATTCAGTAATTTTTAATATTTAAATGAAAGACCACCAAGACAAAAAACTAAATACAGCATGATCTACTTTAGTACCTGCATAAGAATTTTCAGGACTCAAACAGTAGAGCTATTGGTAGTTTATCAAACTGCTCTGCCTTCTCATTTAGAGCTTATTGTTCAGACTTAATGCCCTCAGAGTTAGTATTGAGAATCAGCACCTTACAGGACTGGGCCTGTGACAGTCACAACACAACAGACAAGAGGCTTTCTATTACAAGCAATCTCACTGAAAGAAAAATAAAAAGTTAAGTGCCCTTTTACTGTTCATTAGTAATATGGCATGAGTGATTAAGGAGCTGCTCTGATGTAACTCAAAGCAAGCCATAGCAGAACAGATGAATAAATAGTTCTTATACCTACTTAAATCCAGTGAGCAGGAACTGAAAAATGCATCAGTAGTAGATAGAAATAATCTGTAACTTTTATGTTCCATTTCTTGGATGCACTGAAGAGATGAGATGGTTAGATGGAAGTCTATACAGTCTTTGTGGTGTCACTTTGCAATATGCTTATTTGTGTATATAACTATTCAGTTTATGCTTAAATATATGGTTGTTTGAAATCTGGTGTTTCTAATTGTGAAGATCATTCTTCATTCAATTTATTG